TGTCTACCTTATTACAAGATCCAAAATAATCAATGTTTATATCAACTTAATATAAGAATTATTATTTCAAAGTTAATATTGATATTTTTGTTTTTATACGAAGATTCAACATCTCATATATGGATCTTCTAAGGGACTTAGTGGATAAAATTTCCAACTTTATCCTGTTTTCATGGCCTAATCTTTCACAACCTCCAACCCTAACTCAAAATGTGACCAAACTTACCAAAATCTCTTGCATGGCTCAATTGGAAAGATAAAATGTAATGCATGGTTTCTGGTATGCATTTATTTATAAAATTATTCATTTTATAGAGCTACTCGACGAGTTGGATGCCCCAGACTCGTCGAGTAGAATCGAGTCTTGGACACGGGTTTTCAGCTATCTACTCAACGAGTTGAGAGCCCCAGCTCGACGAGTAGGGCTGCCAGAGTGAAACCCTAATTTCAGGGTTTTGCACCCTATTTAAGCTCCTTAACCCCCACCCCTTGGCCTCATTTCCAGCCTCCAAGTCCTAAACCCTAATCCACAAAACCCTAAAGCTTTATTTGAGAGTGTGAGCCATTTTGAGTGATCTTTGTGCACTTTTGAAGCTTGTGGAAGAAGAAGGAGATAGAGGGCTCAAGAGGAAGAGAGTAGATCTAGAAACTACACTTCGTTGGCTACATTTTCTGGTAATCAAGTTTCTACCTTGATAATTCATTCATTAGAGCTATTTACTTCCATTTTTATGAGGGTTTTGGTTCAAGAACCTTGGTCTTTGGGATTTGGACGTCCCAAGTGACTTACATTCCAGATCTGGGATCTAAAAGGGGTTCCATGACATAAAGGTGCAAACTTTATGACCATGGAAGCCCTATGCAAGCTTAAAAACGTTATTATGGCCTTTTTAGCCCTAAAAGGCCATGTATGGGAGGAAAACTAGGAACTTTACGTGTCCAACTGATGTCCAAGGCCTAGATCTATTATAATGTGCTTTGGTTTAGAGTATTATGGCTTGTGGACCAAGATCTATTTTCGAGAGAGTTAGGGTTTGAGCTAAACCCATTAAGAAGGACTAATAGTGGGTAAAGTTGGAAACTTTACCCTTAAAAGTGTATTCCCAGTGTGTTGATGAAGTATGGAGTTTGGATCTGAAGGGTAGGAGCTTAATCCATTGAGATGGCTCAATCAGACAGAGTAACTCGGCGAGTCCATAGAGGGACTCGACGATTTGAGTGGTTTTCTCTCGTTTTAGCTTAAGGTAGAACTCGACGAGTCGGTGAAGGGACTCGACGAGTTGATTTGGTAGATCGCGACTATGAGTAGCCTAGGAACTCGACGAGTCGGGAGAAGACTCGACGAGTTAGATCGCGAATTCAGGTTCTAGGACTCGACGAGTTGATGGAGCAACTCGACGAGTTGGGCCAACCAGAAGGTTGACTTTGACCAAGCTTTGACTTTGAACAGGGGTAAAATGGTCATTTTACCCTAAGGAGAATTATCAGGTTTTGACTAAGTGTTTTTGTGAAATCAATAGTCGGGGGAGTCGTTGGAGCATCCGTCAGAGATTCCTCACACGAGATTTCATGTTTAGAATACGAGGTGAGTTTTCTCTTGTAGGAACGGGTCTAAGGCACCAAGGCCGGCCCATTTAGATAGTAGTAGTTTCGGGCTACAGTCTGATGTCGGGCGGGGCCCGATGTAGGTTTATATGCTTTTCCGGGTTTCAATCCGATGTCGGGGCGGTCCCAAGGAATGCTTGTATGCTTGATGTCTTTGTGATTCTTGCATGTGTTTGTATTTGTATGTTTTCGGGCTTCGGTCCGATGTCGGGGCTGTTCCCGAGGAATTTTAGTATGCTTTCGGATTTCGGTCCGATGTCGGGCCGGGCCCGAAGAATGTTTATATGTTGGTGTTAGTTGCTTATGTTATGTATTAGTTGTTATGCTCATATGTATGCCGAGATCTACTCGATGCCGGGCGGGGCCCGATGCCGAATAGGGTTCGATGCCGGGCGGGGCCCGATGTCGGGAAAACCGATGTCGAGCCTGACTCGATGTAGCAGGGGCGGGGCCCAAGATATGTTTATGTGATATGTGTATGGTATGTGGTAGTTGGGGAGACTCACTAAGCTTCGTGCTTACAATTTTTAGTTTTGGTTTCAGGTACTTCAGTTAGCAAGGGGAAGAACTCGGGATGACTGCATGGCACACACCGTAGCTTTTAGCCTAAGATGTTTAGACTCTGATATTTGGCACATGATTTTGATACAGTATTTTATTATGATGATTTGAGATACATTACTTATGTTCTTTTTATGAGATGACAAATGGTATTTATGGTTTTTATAATTAATCAAAACGAATTTTTTTGGACTGTATTTTTGGGATGTTACATAAAAATTGGATCATTACACCATAACGGGTCAAAAAGACCCCAAGACTCAACCTTTGGACTTGGAGTTTGCCAAATACTCCAAAAATCCCAAGAAATGGTCCAAAGCATGCATAAAAACCTAGATATACATATGAAGGATCATAAAGCTTCAAGCTTGAAAACCGGTAAAGGTCCAGAGCAAGGAAAGAGGTTGAATCTAGAGTAGATCTTGAATCCTTGCACTCAAACCACCTTTTTCTTATTATTTAAAAACAACACAAAAGCACCAAAAACTCTAAGGAGGCACAAATAGGGGTTAGGGTTTCGATTCAGATGATTAAGGTTGAGAGGATGAGCAAACCTAGGAGCTAGTGCATTTATATAGGGCCCAAAGCCAGAATCTAGGGTTTTATACTTGAGGCGGCTACGCGCCAAGTAATTAAATGAACTACTCTCCGCGTCAACATGGCACTTATACGCCGTGTACCCAAAAATTCTCCTTTTCTTTTATTTAAATTAGATAAGCTTGGAAAGAAACATGACCGAAAACAAGATGTTACAAATATGTTCTCATTTTGTGATTACTAATCTAATACACATCATTTATAAATTCAAAACGTGAAATAATAAATTCAATATCGTCCCTATGGTTTTTTTTTTTTGCACAAACGTTCCTTAAGTATTGACTTTGTAATGCCACTAGTCCTTACGACTAACTCCGTTAAAGATGGGGTTAAGTTTTTATGAAAGGACTAATATAGTGTTCCTTTACAAGGACCAATTATGAAACTTTATCTTTATAATTTCACAAAAGTAGAGAATCATCACTCACCGCCATTAGCCGACGTCTACCTCAACCACCACTAACCGCCTGAGTCCACCACATTTGATACTAAAATCTTTGCTGGAAAAGGGAGTTGAAAGTTGAAACCAAGAAAAAGAAATTGAAATCCAAGAAGAAAGAACTAAAACCACAAATTCAATCTAATCAAAGGAAAAGAAATTGGAGCTAAAAATGAATAAAACCAACATCATCCATTCACTAAGCACCATCACTACCATTGTACAATGAGATACATATGCCAAGATACAAATAACAAGGTGCTTTAGATGAATTGTACCACAAAGCTACAATAGTGGACGCCCTTGTTTAGTGAGAAGCCATCGAGGCACCATGAACTTTGTACATATTAACCATAGATTTTAGCATCATATATCAACACAAATATGCATACAAAATTCCAACCTTGTAAATGGCTCAGGGAAACTATTGTTTACAAAAGATGAAAGGTACTAGTAGGCATAATTCACATGGGGTAAAATTTTCATAGTAACATTTCTTTTGAGGGATTCGTGGTAGCAGCAGAAGGTTCAATCCAAAACATTTTCAAGAAAATAAATTACTACCAATAAGCAGGTTCAATCCAAGGTATTTATATCCAAGCAATCCAACTAATTCAATCACATGCTCATTCCAAAGTAGTAAAATCTAACCAATACACAAAACAATTCAACAAGACGCCCAAATTAACACACAATTGGTAAGCATTTACCTAGTTATATCCAGGTTCAAATCCATTAAGTAGAATGAGAAAACAATGTTAGCACTTTCATAATCCATTAATTGAAATTCAAAAATAATGTTAGTGCTAATGAAATCCGTTAACTGAAATGGCATGAAAAGTTTTCAAAAAAACCAAAAACGTAAGCTACCTTGCTGTTTTTCATATACCCACACATCATCGACCCAGTCTTGATGAACTTTTAAAGAGATCACGAGGGAACTAAATCTCTTACTTTAGAAACCGAAAGTAAACCAAGTACTTGTACCTTCTTTCTTGAGAAACTCCCCACTCCCCACTCACCAACCATCAATGTGATATGCATCAACGATGCCGATATTCAAAAAATCACTCACCGTTATCCGAGAAGGAACTGTCTGGAGTTGATTGACATAAAGAAATTCTCTTTGGGGCCCAAAACCTTTGTCATTCATAAGGGTACAATACTACATCTTGAATTTTGTTTTGGAAATCGCCATCATTAAGTAGAATGATTCTTCGAAACCCGCATCCTTGCAAAAACCTCTACCATGTTACCTCTTTCAAACTTCATTCTTTAAGGATTATGACGAGCGGTGTCTATTTTAGAAACAATGGATACGATGGCTTCAATGAGTCCTGATTGAGTCATCAGCGGGGGTTTGAAAATAGAGGCATGGGAACGATGAAGAGAGAATGAAGGGAACGGGGAGAGAGGGGTCTTTTTGACATTCCATTTGGTCCCGTTATTAGTATCTAACGATGCTGACCTAATAGATTTGGTCATTAGAACAAATAACGTTACAAAATTCGTACTTAGGGACCATTTGTACGGAAAAAAAGTTTCATATGGATGATTTTAGGAAAAAAAATTAAACCATAAGGACCATTTGTGAAAATTTGTCTAATTTTAAACCAGTGTGGAGGCTCATGCTCCGCATGGGTTGGGAGGCTTATTTTTTCAACACATCTAGTGATCTAATGATGTTTCATCTTCACCAACATTTTCATATGACTTTCTATTCATCTAACCAACCGTAACATCATCAAAAAAATGTATAAACAGAAATAAGAAACATTTAACTTACCAGTTTGACAACCCAAAATTGAATTTACTTGAATCAAGATATTAAAATCACATGTAATTACTCTATGAAAAATGGGCATCTAATTCTAAGGAGACATGAAATATGCCTATACAAATGATGTTGTATACCTTCACTTTTAAGATACTTGTATCATCTGTTGACTTTCCACAAAATTAACAACCTTCACTTTTAAGATATGCTCAACTTCCCATCTATACAAAAAAGAGTTCATTAGTATAATAATACTTAAAAAAATATGGCCAACTGAATGGTAATTAATAAAGGACACATGAAACACAATTTGAAGAAAAAAAAATAGTATTAACCACAATTCACAAATTCACCATTACATACAAAAATAACATTTTATTTCCTTATATATTTTGGTTTTTAAAGCATAAAACTAAACAATGAGTATTATTGTATGGATTCGCAAACCATAAACATCTATAATAATAAAAAAAAAAAAAAAAGAACTTTAACATAAGATAAAAAAGACGTTTAGCTCATGCAATGTTTTTTCCAGAACTGGTTTTCGGTTCCAGACCAGGAACCGAACAAATGAAAAACGAAAAAATGGATATCTTGGAGACGTGGAATACAAATGTATTGCCCTTTATTTCTTTATTATAGTAGCTTACACTGAATTATTACTATTACAACTTTGTGTTTTATCAACAATAATAGAAAATATTCAGGAGGGTATCCAAGGCATCTAAAAGAGTATTAAGCTGATCTTTTCACTTTGGTAAATATTCAGGGGTCTATGGGTCATTTAGCAAAAATGTACCTGAGGCTGGCAAAAATAATGTGACCTGCAGATATGATCTTTTAGGGGCAGAATGGTCACCATAACAACAATTTCAAAGTCCATGACAGTAGCAAGAAAGTAACTTCTGATGCAACAGAGTATCTCCAACATGGAATCATTAATATGATGAAACATAACCATGAAAGTCGGAACCTACAAACTCAGGGGAAAATTTTTCTCAATCGCCAAGTTTGTGCAGAAAATCTAACAGCAGAAAAGCGCGCCTTTGCTGATAACTCATAATCTTCAACACCGCATTGTCCACATCATTAGATATATCAGGAAAGCCAGAAAATATCAATATTTTATTCACTTCACCTCGAATTTATTTTTTGTTGCAAGTCCTTGCCTATACCTGTGGACCAACAATCAACAATCAGACCATTCCACCATGTACATGTGTAAGTATGACGAAAAAGAAAAAAAAAAAAACATGGGAAAATGAAAAAGAAACACATCAAGCTAACCCCGATCTTGTTAAACCCGTCACAAAAGATAACACCACGAAAAAGTACCTCACATACACAACTATGTCCAAATTCATTTCCACCTTATTTCTGGATCATTAAAATAAGAATCATCTTCATCCAATAATACTTATAAACATATAAAATTTAGTTTCTGTAAGCCCATGAATTCTTGTTGAATGGTTGACTTACATTGACACTGTTTAAACTTTTTTTTTTTTTTTTTCTATCTGGAATCCAATCCATTCACACCAATCCTTTTGACTTATCTGGTGGTTCAACCCTCTCAATGCTATCGTTTCCAGGTAGCTGTTTGGATGAATCTTGAAGCCCCTCTTCACATCTTAGACTCAAATGTTTATCTCTTTGTATGCCAAGTTCTACATCTTTTCAAACAAAAAACTATCAACAAATTGAATGAATTGATTGTTTATATGGATAAATATATTGGCAATGTCAAAAAGATAAGCCACAAAATTTTACAAAATAAAAAAATCGACCAATAAATTTACCTAATCTAGGATCCCAAGAAGATCATACCTGTAATTTGATGTGATTTGATGCTGGCACACCCAATTACTTCATAACGAAGGCCTGCATATCAAAAATTTCATCAACGCACATATGTTCGTGAGGCTTCCATGGCCTGTATATCAAAATTTTCATCAACACACACCCCAACACTATATATTCGTGAGGCTTCCATGACTTGTGAAATTAAATTAGAAATTAAAAACATAATAGAGATTATCGGGGAAGAAATAAGGAAAGCAAGAACACTGAGCAACAATTGTAAACTCTGAAAGAGAGACACGATACCTAGAATTGGCTCCAGTTCCGAGTGTTTCTTCCATAATGACAAACCCACAGTAGATTATCCTAACCATGGAGGCCACAATTCATTAGAGGGCGTGACAGAGGTGGTTTACTCAAAATCGGTAAAACCTAAACCAAACTGAAGAAGAGTGTGAGGAAAAACTACTCGATCTGAAATGAAATCGGCGACTTTAATCGACCTTTGAAGACCGATTTCCTTGGCTGATGGTGAGCAGAGCTTCAAAAGTGGAATATGGAGCAGATAGGAGAAATCGGTAGATGAAGGGAGCCATTGGAGTAGAAAACGGTGTCTTCCAGATGGGTAGAAGAGAGGAAGACAGCGAATATGTGAAAGCGCCGATTAACCTACTGGTGTGAGGATAGATGACCGGCAAAACTGGAACTGTTCCTAAGAATGCTTGGAATTAATTTTTACCAAGTGATTGTGGTCGTAACAATAATTTACAAGAATGATGTAGTTTGAAAAATATTTACAAAAAGGTTGTAAAAATGTATTCCAGTCATATATATTTTTATATTAAAAAAAATCTTAGACAGTTGGACCACATCTATCCATCTTTTTCTCCCTTCCTATGCTACTCGCCGTTTTTCTTGTCCGCCGGAGCTAAAGATCAACCGTCTTCATCCTTGCTGTTAAAGATCTCTTTGCACAATGGGTCTTCACCTTTGTCTCCGTCTCCACCTTCCTATTTCTTCAGTTATTAAGTTGCCGGCTACACCCCCCCTGTCCTGTCGGCGGTGGTTCTCTCCCACCTATCCTCTTTCACAGGTCAGTTGTTCTTTGATATACATATGTAACACTATCAGTCTTCTTCACCCCATTTGCGACCTGGTTTTCTTTTGTATCAAGAAGCACAAAAAACTCAAAGATTTGTTGGCATTTCAGGAGATACACAACTATTTTGTAATCACCCATTTGTGATCTGGTTTTCATTTTTGATTAAGAAGTAGAAAAAATCGAAGATTGGAGAGCAATTCATATTTTCAGGCGATGTTTTTTTACGATTTCTGCATACACAAATGCTATAACCGAACCAGGTGGATTTTATCGGAAATTTAGTCAATTTAGAACATCATCATCGGAAAAATTTCCCAGTTCACATAAATATAGATTCATGGAAGGTTTCCAATCACAAATTTATTGTCTCAAACTTTTATCACCATTTCAAACGAAAGAATTTGTGGTCAGTCTTGCTCGTTTCTTTGAAAACTTCCCAAAAGCTAGATCTATTTTGTGCTATTTGGAGGAAGAACGAGACAGCATAAGAGGTCGGTAAAGGAGAACCTTCGAATTCCGATTGGAAGAACAGATGGGGAAGATGGTGCAAAAGCAGCAATACTCGCTGATAACTTTTTAGGAGGAAAAAACGGGAGGGGAAGGGTATATTGGGAATATGGGGTCATCAAAAAGCTAATTAACTATGTTTCAGTAATTAAATTTAAAAGCACAAGACATTAGTAAATATTTTTTAAAAACACAATTACCTAGTACAAAACTCTTAAATTAATTGTATAACAAATTGCTTATAAATATAAAAAATATATATTTCAAACTATACCCAATTTATTTACCCACGTGATTACGAAACCTCACTTAACTAAACCCTTTTACGACTATCTAATCCGTTAATCGGTGTCGAGTGGTTCATTAACGTGATAGTATGACTTGAAGCCATGGATAAGCTTGATTGAGTTTTAATATGCAAATGAATTATGATCTGATACCATTGCATTGCTTTCTAATGGATTCATATACAAACACAACTATTGTTATTGTTATAGGTCATGTGGACAATTCCCATGTTTGTATACACATAAACGAACCCCTTTTCAATTCAAAAGTTTTATTTGAAGCTTTTGATTTGAATTTCAACAGCAAAATGGGGAAACGATTTCGCTGAGCCAAATCAATTTGTTGTTGTGCGTTATCCTCGTTTCTGTCTGAGGTTTAAATTCATCATGACTTCATATGGCTATGTGTGATTTTGAGCTTACGTATGCCTAATTTTGGTCTATTCGAACAAATTTGTTGTGTATAGAGTTTGTATATGCATAATCAAAGTTCATGTGTTTGATTGTTGATTTATTGTAATTTTTGATGTTCTTATAGTTAATTTTTAGTCCTAGATAGCTAAGTGAATTTGCATGTTGTAGTTGAAATTTTGTATCGAAGTTTGTATGATTAAATCGATAAGTGTGGATCTATTGTGAATTCACTCTAATTTGATTGCTTGTTGGTGAGTTTATGATTTAGGTAAGTGTGGTTTCATCGCAGGAGTTACATTTGAAACTACTTTTTTAGTATTGTTGATTTACGAATTTGATGTAAGTTTATTACATGTGTATCTTTGTCTGTGTGTGTATTCCATTCATAAATTGAAGGAACTTCATTTGAACTATGTTGCTTTTGGTCTTAACGGAAGTAAGGGGCTGTTTGTTTTAGCTTCTAACTGGGTCCAATAGGGGACCGGGTCCAAAAAAACGAATTCAGCATGTTTGATAAGGTACCAACACTCAAGGACTCGGTCCAAGCTTTCAAGCTGATTCGGTCCTCTCTTTTCAATCGCTGGACCGGGACAACAAATAAGCAATAGGCTGGATTTCCAATTTTGCCCTACCATTTTATGAACGCCTCCATAGGAAATAAAGCTATCGGCGATTCCACAGAGAAAGAAAGCAATTGGCGATTCCACAAAGAAAGAAAGCAATTGGCGACATGCTGCTGTTGTTCGAGTTTGTTGCTCCTTTTTGTTGGTCAATTTTTGCTGAGATATTAGAGCATGTTGCTCCTATTTGCTGTAAGGTATTTGGTGTGAGTTGATGTTGATTTTTCAATTTGTTGTTGTGAAAAATCGTTTGATATAGAGTTGAAATATGTCATGATTTTTAATTGTTCTTGATATTTCAAAATTTCTTTTATTTTATCAACCTGGTATCATAAAAAACACATAATTAAATGATAAATTTAAGATTCAAAACACAACCACAGAGTAAAATTTACAATTCACAATTGCAAAAATGTCATGTCGTTTTATAAAGTAGTTGTAGTATGAAAGAAAATGTAAGGGTGTAAATTCAAACCTTGCAAGAAAGAGAGCATAAATGGAATGGTTTTTGAAGTATTCAGGTGAAACATGAATTTACCCTGGTTTGTGCCTCTGATTCAAGAATATCACTTTTCTGCATTTACAATAATACCCTCTGGTTTGAGAATATCACGTTTCTGCATTTACAATAATAATATATCTATCAAAAAGTATATTTACATTTTTTATAATAAAACTCATTTAATATGTGTATGTGTAATTGTGTATTGGAGGGAGGTTTCTGATTTTGTTTAGTGATTAACTTTGTTAAATTGTAAATACCCCATAAATTATTATAAAAAATGTTGTTTGAGGGTAATATAGTCAATTTGTAAAGTCAGTCATATACAAAATCAAACAACAGGTTTCAGTCAGAAGTTAAACCAGTCAGAATTTCCAACTCAGTTAGTTTCTAACCCAGTCAGCTCTAATCCAGTTAACAATTATCAAACGACCCCTAAGCTAATGAGGACATATGATTGTAATTGTATAATCGAAGTTGATATAGTGATTAATTGTTTATTGGTTTGTTAATTTTTAGTCCTAGTGATAGCTTGATTTTTTATATATATTTTATCATGCATTTGATTTTAGTTTTAGCATTTTTTATTTTTCTTTATGTATTAAATCGTTAGATTTATTGTTTTGAATATTTTTACTCGTTTAAATTATTTTTGTTTAGATTTGTACGAGCAAGATGATATTTGGAGAATCGTTAAAGTCACATCGAATACCTTGCAACCGTGATGAAAGTCTCGTAGCAAAAACTGTGAGTTGTGAGCGACATGAAATACAAAGTGATAAAGAGATTTTTGAAATTTTGACAGCATTGCACACCTTTTTTCAAGTGATCAACGGAGGGGCAAACGTTGTCCGATTGAGCTGAAAATCTACGGACGTCTTTCCGACTCGTTGATATTCGATCTCACAAAAAATGAATGGATTCCGCCAAGTTTTGATATGGTTTTTCTATTGGGTATTCTTGATGGGTTAAGTTAGGTCACGGGTACGGGTTCGAATGGGTCGGTTCGGTTTCCTTATGCACAAGTTGGATAGGTTTGACTTAGTCTAATAATGACCTAGTTTGAAGGGGTTTCAAAAACGTGGACTTAGTAATCCTATATCTGTGGTTCTTAGCTGATAGTTTATTCCTGTTTCTTAGCATGTTTACTAGTATAAGTAGAGTATAATTTCTTCTAGTTGTATGTATGTATTTTCTGTTTTCAATGAATGAGTAAGATAATCCAGAAAAGTGGTGTGTGCATGATTGTTTTCTTGGGTCTGGACCAACACTTGGTATCAGAGCCCTAGGCTCATAGTGTGGGTTGTAGAAGAAGGGTTGATCAAATGTTAATGAAAGCAGCAAGTTTATGATAAGCAGAAAGCAAGTAGAAAGGCTAATCAAGTTGTGATTGGCAGAAAGAAGCATGCAGCAAGCAAACACATTTGATCAAGAAAGAAAGAAAAGAAGCAAGAGAAAGCAAAAAATCAAAGCAGGAGACAACAAGATTCGAAGGATGATAGCAAGACCTGAAAGAGACTTTAGCAAGAATGAGCAGTGGAAAGAATGTCGTAGGAGAATAATTATGGTAGGGGGATCAAAAGAAGTTGTGGCTCGTAAACAAGAGCCTCCAGGTATGACATATCAAGAAAGAAAGGGCTGATTACAACCGTATGTAATCAAGTGGAGAGGAAGAAAGCAAGTAGAAAGCATGAAGAAAGGCTGCACAACAGCAAATTGGAAAGAAAGAAAGAAAGAAAGAAAGAAAGAAGAAAGAAGAAATAAAGAAGAAAGAAAAAAAGAAAGAAAGAAGAAAGAATGAAAGCAAGTCAGGTCACGTTTGGTGATCAGAAGAAAGAAGCAACAGAATTTTTCTGTATGAACAATTTCAAGTATTGTAACAAGCAATAAGGGTTGTTGCATAGTCTGTAGTAAGTAGCAGGCAAGACAATCATAGCAAGAAGAGAGTTTTTGGTTTGTAGCAAGTAGCAAACAAGAAACATAATGCATGAGATAGCAAGAAGTATACTTCTTGAGCAAGATAGAAAAACTGTGTGTTCTTAAAGCAAGTAGCAAGAAAAGCAAGATCAAGTTCATCAAGATTACGGGGGTAAATGTTGGGTATTCTTGATGGGTTAAGTTGGGTCACGGGTACGGGTTCGAATGGGTCGGTTCGGTTTCCTTATGCACAAGTTGGATAGGTTAGACTTAGTCTAATAATGACCTGGTTTGAAGGGGTTTCAAAAACGTGGACTTAGTAATCCTATATTTGTGGTTCTTAGCTGATAGTTTATTCCTGTTTCTTAGCATGTTTACTAGTATAAGTAGAGTAGAATTCCTTCCAGTTGTATGTATGTATTTTCTGTTTTCAATGAATGAGTAAGATAATCCAGAAAAGTGGTGTGTGCATGATTGTTTTCTTGGGTCTAGACCAACATTTTCGCCTCATGAACAGTTGGACAAAAAGCTGTCAGCATCATATTTGGCAGTCCATATAGTAGCCAAGAAGAGAATTATTTGCAGCCAAGTTCAATATTTTCCACCAGCCCCTTTAGTCATGGGAGTCCATGTTTCAACTAGAAAGTCCATGATGTGTTTTGGGGGTTTTGATAAACAAATGTAGCATATAGGGTTTTAAACAGACTGAACGTTCGACGAACCATTTGTGAATTGTTCGGCAAAATGTTCTTTTATGTTCGTTTATTTAACAAATGAACGAACATGAACACAATTATCGTTCATTTAGTTAAACGAACGAACATGAAAAATGGTCTCGTTCGTTCATTTGTGTGTGTGAACGTTCGTTTATGTTGTTCGTTTACGTTTATTTATGTTCATTCGTTTAAGTTTATTTATGTTCATATATATTCAATTGTTTGTTATTACGTTACTATATTATATGCTCGTTTCTGTTTATATATGTTTAATTATGTTTGTTTATCATTCCGTTTATGTTCGCTTGTTTATGTTCGTTTAGCATATTCACGAACATAAACAAACGAACATGAACAATGTAATTTGTTAAATGAATGAACATGAGCAAGAAAACTCGTTCGTTTATCCGTTCGTGTTTGTTCATTACTTCGGATAACTTAAACGAATGAACATGAGAATGCCATTGTTCGTGTTCGTTCGGTTCGTTTACAGCCCTAGTAGCATATATGAAAAATAGGGTACGTCATTTTCTACACGCCAACCGGAGGTTTGGAGGGTTCAACACAAATGAAGATCCCATTTCTTTTTTTTTTTCCATCTTTTATTTCCTTCGTTCCTTTTTATTTTTGGAACAAATATTATGATATTATTAATATCATGAT